GAGATTCAAAATCTGCTGACAGGCCGGGCGCGGTGGCTGTAATCACAGCACTTTGGAAGGCCGAGGTGGGCGGATCACCTGAGGTCAGGAGTTCGAGACCAGCCTGGCCAACATGTGAAGCCCCATCTCTATTAAAAATACAAAAATTAGCCAGGCGTGGTGGCACATGCCTGTGATCCCAGCTACTCGGGAGGCTGAAACAGGAGAATCCCTTGAACCCTGGAGGTGGAGGTTGCAGGGAGTCAAGGCACTCCAGCCTGGGCAACAGAGTGAGACTCCCTCTCAGAAATAATAAAAAATAAATAAAAATAAAAATAACAGGCCGGGCGCGGTGGCTCACGCCTATAATCCCAGCACTTTGGGAGGCCGAGGCGGGTGGATCACGAGGTCAAGAGATCGAGACCATCCTGGTCAACAAGGTGAAACCCCGTCTCTACTAAAAATACAAAAATTAGCTGGGCATGGTGGTGTGCGCCTGTAGTCCCAGCTACTCGGGAGACTGAGGCAGGAGAATTGCTTGAACCCAGGAGGCGGAGGTTGCGGTGAGCCGAGATTGCGCCATTGCACTCCAGCCTGGGTAACAACAGCGAAACTCCATCTCAAAAAATATAAAATAAAATAAAAATAAAAATAACAAAATCTACTGACTGGGTTAGGTGCAGTGGCTCACGCCTATAATACCAGCACTTTGCTAGGCTGAGGCGGGCAGATCGCCTGAGGTCAGGAGTTCAAGACCAACCTGGCCAACATGGCAAAACCCTATCTCTACTAAAAATACACACACAAAAAAAATTACCCAGGCAAGGTGGTACATGCCTGTAGTTCCAGCTACTTGGTAGGCTGAGGCAGGTGAATCACTTGAACTGGGAGGCGGAGTTTGCAGTGAGGCAAGATTGCACCATTGCCCTCCAACCTGGGCAACAGAGTGAGACCTTATATCTTTGTTATTATTATTATTTTAGATGGAGGCTCATGCCAGGCGTGGTGGCGCATGCCTGTAGTCCCAGATACTTGGGAGGCTGAGGTGGGAGGATCACTTGAGCCCAGGAGTTCTGGGCTGTGGTGCGCTATGCCGATTGGCTGTCTGCACTAAGTTCGGCATCAATATGGTGACCTCCCAGGAGTGGGGGACCACCAGGTTGCCTAAGGAGGGGTGAACTGGCCCAGGTCGGAAACGGAGCAGGTCAAAACTCCCGTGCTGATCAGTAGTGGGATCACGCCTGTGAATAGCCAAATGTAACAAAGCAAGATCCCGTCTCTGAAAAAAAGTTATTTTAAAATATTTTTTTTAAAAAAGATGGAGGCTAACTCTCTTGCCCAGGAGTATAGGGGTGCAGTTTCAGCTCACTGCAACCTCTGTCTCCTGGGTTCAAGCAAGTCTCGTCCCTCAGCCTCTGGAGTAGCTGGGACTACAGGCTCCCGCCACCATGCCAAGCTAATTTTTGTATTTTCATTGGAGGTGGGGTTTCACCATGTTGGCCAGGCTGGTCTTGAACTCCTGACCTCAGGTGATCTGCCTGTCTCCACCTCCCAAAGTGCTGGGATTATAGGCATGAATCACCTAGCCTGGTCAAGACCCCATCTCTTTAAAAAGACCAAGATGTTTATTAGATGAATGAGAGTCCTGATGTGAGCAGACACCTCGTGCTGTGTGGTGGCGGCGGACAGGCCCCGTGGGCATTCGGTACACACTCTTGTGGCAGCTGCCTCCAGCCCCGACCCCCACCCCTGCTTCCCCAGGCTGCAGGCCAACTTCACCATCCGGGAAGATGCCAACCCCAGTTCTCGCCAGCGAAGGCTCAAGCGCTTCCAGGCCAACCCAGAGGCCAACTGGGGTCCCCGGCGTCGTGCCCGGCCAGGGTGAGTGTTGGTAGGGTGCGGGGGTGGATCTTAGCCAGGGAAAGGAAGGGCAAAGGACAGAAGTGGTCCCATCTACTCACCGCTTGCACAGGGGCAAGGCAGCCGACGAAGCTATGGAGGAGAGACACATGGTGCTTCGTAACAAGCGGAAGGAGCCGCCCGAAAACGCGGCCCAGCGGGCTGCCCGACTCAAGACGTTTCCTTGCAAGAGGTTTAAGGAGGTGAGATCCCTCCTCCCTTTTCCCACTGCAGGACACATGATTCTCTCCTCTTTGGGCAACCGGGAGAGAACTGGGGGAACTGGGACCAGGCGGGTGCTTGGGAGTGGTTTTACCATTCCAGGAAAGGAACCCGTCAGGAGTCACTGAGCTCCGGGGCGGGGTTCACACCCACCATCTTCCCACCAGGGTACCTGTCAACGCGGGGACCAGTGCTGCTACTCCCATGGCCCCCCGGCACCCAGGGTCTCTGCTGATGCTGTCCCTGACTGTCCAGAGGCTTCTAACCAGAACCCCCTGGGCCTCGGGCTGCCGCTGAGCTAGGCATAGACTGAACCAATAAAGAGATGTCACGTCACCTCTGGATTGCCTGTGGTTTGTGTATCGATCCATACAGCTGCATGACTGGGAGCTGTTCCTCTGGGGTCGTTCGCTCCTGCCTGACTGGAGCGTTGAGTCTGTATGGGAGGTAGGAGCTGACCATCTGCACAGTGGTCGGCCCAGCCCCTCTCCATCAAAGGTCACTGAGCCACCCCAGAGCCGGCGCCTGCGGTCCCCAAGGCGGCCACGAGGCGGCAGCCGTGTGCTCGCTCCCGCGGGGGTGCTGCCCCTCTTCCCCCTCCCACCTTCAGTGCGCTCTCGGCGGCCGCGGGCACGCACGCAGGCTAGCGCTCCTGCCCGGGAGCCCCCACTTACCCTCCTCGCGCTGCTGCCTCCTCGCCGCCTGGTTTCTTCGGCCCAGCTCTCCAGGGGCCGCAGTGGCGGAAGCTGGACCGGAACCAGGCGCCCTGTGCATCCGCTCCAGACCAGGTGCTTCCTGCCCTGAGGCCCCAGGGGGGCGTGCACACAGTGAGGGACCTCGCCTGCTGCTGCCCAGACACCCAGTGAGGGGGAGCTGCACCCCTCCCTGTCCCCCAGAGCGGGGTTTAGTAACGTTAACGAAGAGGCCTGGGGCAGGGATCCTGCCCAGGATCCTCTCTGGCTCCTGCTCCCTTCATCCCCATCTGTAATGAGGCTAATCTTAGGACCCTCCTTGTAGGGATATTGGAGCTGGTTTCAGTGTTTAAACTTTTTTTTTTTTTTTTTTTTTGGAGACAAGAGCTAGGTGTATGGCCCAGGCTGGTGTGCAGTGGCATGATCTTGGCTCACTGCAATCACCACCTCCCAGGCTCAGGCCATCCTCCCACCTCAGCCTCCAGAGTAGCTGGGACTACAGGCATGCACCAGCACAACCATCTACTTTTTGTATTTTTTGCAGAGAAGGAGTTTCACCATGTTGCCCAGGCTGGTCTCAAACTCATGAGCCCGCACTGATCTGCCAACCTTAGCCTCCCAAAGTGCTGGGATGACAGGTATGAGCCATCACACCCAGCCTTTATTGCATAAAACTTTAGTTTTTGCCTTTTTTTTTTTTTTTTTTTTTTTTAAAGACTCAGTCTTGCTCTTGTCTGCAATGCTCGAGTTCAATGGCGCAATCTTGGCTCACTGCAAACTCCATCTCCCCCATGTTCAAGTGATTCTCCTGCCTTAGCCTCCTAAGTAGCTGTGATTACAGGCACCTGCCACCATGCCCAGCCAATTTTTTAATTTTTAGTAGAGACAGGGTTTCACCATGTCGGGCAGGCTGGTCTTGAACTCCTGACTACAGGTGATCTGCCCACCTCGACCTCCCAAAGGGCTGGGATTACAGGCATGAGCCACTTCGCCCAGCCAGTTCCTGCTTCTTTGGAGAGAGGCAATGGAGGTGTCGATTGTGGGGTCCTGGGCTCCTCCCCATTCCTGGGAGGGTGGTGGTAGCCCTGGTGCTGGGTGCCTTTCTGGGGGCTTCTCCAGTCACCCAGATACACACACGGGCCAAAGCATGAGTGACAAGTGTGTGGCGGCAGTCCCGTGGCTGCTGCAGCCTGGCTGTGCCCAAAGCCTCTCCCTTTCAAAGGCTCCAGTGGGATCTTGAGGTTTTACACCAAGCCAGGATACCTGCCCCCTATGAAGTGGCCGGGTGCTGTGGGGTGAGGGCCAGGGACCACCAAGTTGGAGTTATATGATTCTGTGGCCAAGAGGCCTAGAATTGTGGGGACCTGTCGGGTATCTACTGGGTCACACTAGCCCTGGCACCCCAGGAAATCCAACTTCTCCATCCCAGCCCTGACAATGTGGCACTTCCTCTCACTCTCCTGGACTTGGAAATGTGTGGATACTGTGCTGAGGGCTGAGAACACCTGCCCGGCTGGACACCCAAGGCCAGACTGTTAGAACTGTCTCCCTTTGGGTGCCTCACTCCTGGGTAGGGGTGGTGAAGAGGCAGGAAGGCCTCTGTAAAAAGAGGAACCAGGCTGGGTGAGCAGAAGAGAAGGTGGGGCCCCAGGGTCACGAGGCCCCAACGGGCGGAAAGGGCTCTCCCTCACCCCCATCAGCACAGACACCCAGGCAGGGGGTGTTCCAAACCAGAGAGCAGATTCCAACTACATAAGAGGAGGCAGTTTACCCCCCTGTGTGCATCCAGGCACCTTCCTACCCTGCTGCCCTCAGGCCTCGGTCCCCAGAGGCTCAGGGTCCCTCCAGTGCCTGGGGGAGCGGAAGGCAAGGGGTCTTGAGGGGTGGCGGGCCGAGTCCTGACAATGCCAGCTGGGGGCGGGGCCGGGAGGCCCGAGCTGTGAGGTCCCCGCCTGCTGGTTTCCTCCGGGGTCAGCCCGTCTCCTTATCAGGCGCGGCCAGGCAGCCAGGCCCTTATCTGCACTGGACCAGCATCCTCCGGCCGCTGTGCCGCCAGGGGTGAGAGGGAGGAAACCGGGCCGCCGGGGGCGGGGAGAGAGCGGTCCAGCCGGGAGCTGCTCACTTTCCCTAGGGGGGACCTACACGGAGACCTCAGCCATCCTGGCCCTCCGAGGCCCACAAGGAGGCGCGGCCCAACGCCCGGGCCTGGAGCGTTGAGGCTGGATCCGAGCAAGACAGCAGAGCCTGGCCTGACGCTAGAAACCACATCCTGGCCCAGACTGCCAGCCCTGACGGGACAGAGCCAGGGTGCTCACCAGGCTGCGGCAACAGTGCTGGGGTAAGAGGGGAGCGGGCCTGAAGGTGGAGGATCCTGGGCCTGGGACCCAGCCTGAATTCCTTTGTTCATTCATTCATTCATCAGCAGGGACCCACTAGTAAGGGGCCGGGCCTGCTTCCGCAGGGCCTAGCTGAGGAAGACAGGGCAGAGGGGCCAAGAGTCTCACATCTTGCTGGGACATCCTGGACTGTAGAACCAAGAGCCAACAGGGATGTCAAAACAGCGTGCAAAAGTGAATGCTAGGGCATGGTGGTGCATGCCTGTAATCTCGGCACTTTCGGAGGCTGAGGTAGGAGGATCACTTGAGTCCAAGAGTTCCAGACCACCCTGGACAACAGAGTGAGAACCCGTCTCTACAAAAAACATTTTTTTTAATTAGCTGGGCATGGTGGCACATGCCTGTACTCTCAGCTACTCAGGAGGCTGAGACAGGAGGATAGCTTGAGCCCAGGAATTTGAGGCTGCAGTGAACTATGATTGCACCACTGAACTCCAGCCTGGGCAACAGAGGGAGAAACCTGTCTCTAAAAATAAACAAAAGGCCGGGTGCAGTGCCTCATGCCTGTAATCCCAGCACTTTGGGAGGCTGAAGCAGACAGATCACCTGAGGTTGGGGGTTCGAGACCAGCTTGGCCAACATGGAGAAACCCCATCTGTACTAAAAATACAAAATTAGCCGGTTCTGGTGGCGCATGTCTGTAATCCCAGCTACTAGGGAGGCTGAGGCAGGAGAATCGCTTGAATCTGGGAGGTAGAGGTTGCGGTGAGCCAAGATCGCGCCATTGCACTCCAGCCTGGGCAACAAGAGTGAAACTCTGTCTCAAAAAAACAAAAAAAAGTGTGGATGCTAATGGGGGTGGGGGCTTCCAAGCCAGAGGGAGGGTTGGGGCATGACTGGACTGGACTGGGCAGCGGAGTCAGTGTTTAGGGGTCTAGGGTCAGCATTTGAGGTCATAGCGTCAGTAGTGGGGTCACAGGGCTGGTATGGGGGACATTTGTGGTGGAGGTGGGGGGTCACTAGAGCAATACGGAGTACTTTTAGGGACAGCAATGGAAGAACCGCACGGTCGTTCCTGAGGTGCAGGAGTCAGCCTGGGTGGGGGCTGGGGGGTATCCGTGAAGGTCAGCCCGTCTCAAAGGGATTCCAAGGTCACATGGCATCAGTGTGTCAGTGAGGAGTCTCTGGATCGGATCTTTAGATCTGAGGGTAACAGGGGTAATCTTGGGGCTTCTGGGGATCCCAGGATCAGTTAGAGGCTCCCTGTCTTGTTCCCTTTCTAGGCTGCAGAGGTGAGGGAACTGTGGAAAAAGGAATATTTGCTCAGAGGCTGGGCAACAGCACCCCTCTTGGGTCACAAAAAGCCCAGGGACAGTGCCCTGCCTATTAGCTTAGTGGGCGCCTCCTACTCTAAGCAGGACTCCTTCCCCATGTCCTGGAAGTTTCTGGGCCTGCCCCCCATCCCCCACTTCCATCACCATCTGCCTTTGCCTACTGAAACCCCTCTCCTCCTCCTTTTCCCCTCCCCCTCCCTCCTTCCCATTTGAGGGCTTTGGGCTAAGCAGGTGGGTGTGGGGCACCTGGTCCTCCTCTCCACTGGCTGCCTTTTTTCCCACAGGCAAGTACCCCCACGTCGGGGTCCATGTGCCCGCCTCAGGCACAGGCAGAGGTGGGCCCCACCATGACTGAGAAGGCAGAGATGGTGTGTGCCCCTAGCCCAGCGCCCGCCCCACCCCCTAAGCCTGCCTCGCCTGGGTCCCCGCAGGCAGAAGAGGTGGGCCACCAAGGAGGCTCCTCCCCACCCAGGCTGCCACCTGGTGTGCCGGTGATCAGCCTGGGCCACAGCAGGCCCCTGGGGACAGCCATGCCCACCACAGAGCTGGGGACCCTGCGGCCCCCGCTGCTGCAACTCTCCGCCCTAGGACCTGCCCCACCCACTTTGGCCTTGCACTACCACCCTCACCCCTTCCTCAACAGGTCAGTGGGGAGCTGGGGCGGGGGTGCGGTAAGAACTGGGGGCGAGGGTCCTTGCCCACGAGGCATTAGTGACCCACGACCCCTTACAGTGTCTACATTGGGCCAGCAGGACCTTTTAGCATCTTCCCTAGCAGCCGGCTGAAGCGAAGACCAAGCCACTGTGAGCTGGACCTGGCTGAGGGTGAGTGTGGGTTTGTGTGCATGCGTGTACTTGTGGGTGCACGGAAGGCTGGCCGTGTCTCTGTGGTGCTCATGTCTGTCCTCTACTCCACCTCAGGGAGAGGTGCTTTCAGCAGACACAGAGAACAGCCCACACGGGTTCTATCCATGTGCAAAACCGCAGTCCGATAGCCAGCCCCACACAGCCACCGCCACCCAACAGGCCAAGCCTCATAGCTGCAGTCACGCAAAACAGCATGCCACACCAGGGAATGGGAGCCACAAAATGACAGCTCCACTGGAATGCACAGCCACGCAAAAGACAGCCACAAGACCACAGCCATGCAAGACCCAGCCTCAGGACCACAACCACTTAGAATCATGGCCACACAAGAGTCAGCCACACAACCACAGCCACTCATGAAACAGCCACCTGGCAACATCACACATAACCACAGCCATAACAAGAGTTGCACACAAGCCACATGAGACACAGGACAGAGATAGTCACAATGAGAGAACCTCTCAGACCCATGAGTACACCCAGCCAGCCACACGTGGCCACACTCAGAATGAGGGCCGCAGGGACAGCTTCCCAGACCAAACAGCCACAAGGAAATCTTTCCTTAGGGAATCTCAGCCATTGATATAAAGTTGCCCACAGTCACAGATGGAGCAGGCCCCTGTTGTCAGTAGCCTGGGCCTGTGATGATCCTTGTCTGGGTCGCTCTTGGGAGGGTTGGGGAGAGCTACTCATGGACTCCTTGGGTGGAGAAAGCCGCAGCCCATGGCCCGGGTTTAAGTTCCCACGAGGGTGCTAAATGCCTGGCGGGAGGGCAAGAGGGGCCGCCCTTTGGGCCTTGGCGCCAACCCGGCTCTCCTTGTCCACAGGGCACCAGCCCCAGAAGGTGGCCCGGCGCGTGTTCACCAATAGCCGGGAGCGCTGGCGGCAGCAGAACGTTAACGGCGCCTTCGCCGAGCTGAGGAAGCTGCTGCCGACTCACCCGCCCGACCGGAAGCTGAGCAAGAACGAGGTGCTCCGCCTCGCCATGAAGTACATCGGCTTCCTGGTGCGGCTGCTGCGCGACCAAGCAGCAGCTCTGGCCGCAGGCCCCACCCCGCCCGGGCCCCGAAAACGGCTGGTGCACCGGGTCCCAGACGACGGCACCCGCCGGGGATCTGGACGCAGGGCCGAGGCAGCAGCACGCTCGCAGCCCGCGCCCCCAGCCGGCCCAGACGGCAGCCCCGGTGGGGCGGCACGGCCCATCAAGATGGAGCAAGCGGCTTTGAGCCCAGAGGTGCGGTGACCCCACGCGAGCCAGAGGGCACCAGGGACTCGGCCCAGGGCCGTCGAGGAAAGGGCAGAGGATGTGCTGCGCGTGCTCGGGAGCGAACTCCCCCGGAGAAGGACCAGTGAAGACGTCAGGGGCAAGGTCTGGGGGTCCAGAAGGGTGATCATGCCCCCCAGGGGATCCACAGACCCTTAAAAAATTACCCACCACCCTCTGGAAGTGGCCTTGCCCGGGTCCCCTTCCCAGGAGTGAGGTCGGCAAACCAACATGGCAGAGCAGTCATAGGATCCAAGTGGTGCCTCATTTTTTTCCGGGCTGGGGTCGCGGCGTGGCGGGGAGGCCAGGAGGAGCTGGGGAGCCTTCGCTTTTCTCACTGTCGGCCCCTCCTGGAGACCCAGGGACAGACGCTCGTCGACGGTGTCTGCTGAGCTCCCGCAGCTAGTAGGGAGGCACAGAATCCACGTCGGGGACGCACCCTACCGACCCAGACCCGGTCCCCGCACGGTCGCGTAAGCGAAGGGTCAGGCGCTCTTACGTTTGTTTTTCTTTATTTCTTTATTTCACATACACATTAGCCATTCAATGGAGAAGCCGGAGAGAGTCAGGCAAAGATGGTATAACAGAAGCGCAGTGACGGGGGCGGGGCAGGGCGGGGCGGGGCGGAGAGGGAACAGACGGGCTGGCTGCCTACTTGCATTCCGCTAGGACACTGAAAACCCAGAAAACAAAACAGACAGTAAACTACCCTTGTTTCTTATGTATCTCAGTGCAGAGACGGGGGTGGAGGGCGGAGAAGAGGGGAGACCAGGCTGAAGGAGGAGGAGCAGAGGGAGGGGGACGCTAAGGGGGAAGCACACCAAATCCATTAGTACTATATATAGAGATACTCGTATATACTGCGTTTCTTAGCCTAAGAAGAAACTTGTTTGACGGGACGGGCGGCCTTTGCGGTCCGCGATGCTGGTGCTGGTCGGGCGCACGGATCTCCCGGGAGGGTCCGAAGCGGGGCTGGCCCAGGCTGGCTTGCGGGGGAGGGGGGGCGCCCCAGGGTGGGTGGGATGGGGGAGCAGAGGCGGGGCTGGGTGCCCTCGGGCTCTCGATTGGGGGACGAAAGTTCTCGTGACTTTATTGCTCCTTTATTTTCTCTCGTGTGGGGGGGGTCTGTTCAGCACGGTCGGGGTGGGGGAGTGGTGGGTCGTCTGAGCCACCCGGCCCCTCTGGGACCCAGAGCGCGGCGTCCGCTCCGCCAGCACGGGGGTGAGAACAAGGCACTAGGTCGGCCGGCCAGCGCGGGGGCGGGTGTATAAGGCAGTCGACAGGGCTGGTTGCGGGGTGGGGCGGGGCTGTGTGCGGGGCCGTGTGCGTGCGTGCGTGCGGGCGCGGGCCTGGGCAAATCGACCTGTCAGCGTGGCTGGTCCTGTCCTGGAGCGTTGAGCCTTCCCGGTGTTCCCCGGACGGGGTCGGGGATAGGAGGAGAGATGTTGAATGGGTGGGGGGCGCCGGGAAAGAGGGAGGAAACTACCAACTTGCTGAGCGCGCTCCTGATAATGCTGGTGAGGGTCAAGTTGGCGTCTGGCTCAAAGAAGGGCGCTCGGGGCGGAGAGGGAGGGAGGGAGGGGACGTTTGTTCGTTGGCATTGACCTCTGCGGGAGAGGGGCCAGGGACCCCTGCCGCGCCCCTGTGCCCGGACGGGGATGGGGCGAGGAGGGGGTGCTGGGCCCCAGGGAGGGGCGCCCGGGGAGACCCGCGGCCGGAGCAGTCCAGCCGCTGGGCGCACGCCGCTGTCCCGTTCCGTTAAACTCAACAAAGAAGGGATATGCGTATTCCTAACAAGTGCAGGATATTTAATTGATTCATAAACTTATAATGTATAATAGTTTGTGGGTTCTTTAAAACGTATTTTATAATGTAAGAAGCACCAGGGTTTTTATGTTTAATTATCTTAAAAATAATTTTTCTCTCGTCCTTTTCCTTTTTGATCTTGTGTTGGTTGATTTTTCAAATGTCGAGGTGTTTTTTTTAAAACTCTAAAATGTGAACGTTGCCTTCAGCCCTCCCACCGAAACTGAGAACGAACGACGAAACAAATAAAACCCCAGATCATCCTCGTCAACGCAGGAAAACGACTTAAAAAAAAAAAAAAAAAAAAAAAAAAAAATAAAAACGAACCAAAAAAAAAAAAAAAAAAGGGAAAAACACTCAGCTTTCGTTACCCCACACAGGGCGGGGCAGGCCCGGTTCTTTAGCGTCCCCAGAGCCGAGAGGACATTACAACAAAATAGAATTTTTTTTCTTAACAATCTCTTAACATACAAAGATAGGAAAACTCTCTGATGCATTGCACTTGATTCAATGAAAAAAAAAGTTCATTTCCCCCATATATATTTTCGTGTTTTTTTTTTTCCTCTCCTAACACGTCCCCACATCTGTCGCCCTCATTGCCCCTCACAACACTTGGGAAAGGAGCAGCCCCCACCCCCTGCCCGCCGGGCAGCCCTGCCGGGCACGCTCCGGCCCGGGCCCAGCTGGCCTGCAGCTTCCGACCTTGCCCGGGCAGGCACCCCGCAGACCCTGGCTCCCGCAGGCCCACAGCGCCCAAGGCCCCGACTGTCGTCGAGGGAAAGGGCATGTGCCACTGGACAGGGAGCCCCTTCCGCTCCTCAGCTCTGACCCTGTTTAGCCAACCGAACTGAAAAAAATCATTGCACTTTGACCGCGCGTCATGCCCGGCCCACCCGGCCCCCCACCCCCGGGGCCTTATTCCCATGCCCCGGGAGACTCCCGCAGGATCCACTGCCCCTCAGCCCTTGGGTTCTCTAGGGCTGCATGCTGAGGATAGGGGGAGGGCTTCATTTAACTTTCCAACAAAAGCCACTCCAGGGGCCAGCCACCTTGTGGCTTCCAGCTGGGTAGCAGGCACCACCCGCCTGCCCCTTCGGCCCCAGGTGGCTGGCCTCCTCCCCTCCCCAGACACTCCCTCCTCTCTTCCCTCCCTCCGCCTGCTCGGGCCACAGCTTCACAAACTAGATTCACAATAAATACAGCCCATAACCCACCCCTACGTGGTGCGATGTTGGATTGATTTTCTTTCAGAGGATCCTGACCTGTGCTTTGTGTTTTCATACAATTAAGAAAGAGAGAGAAAGAGAGAGGCACAAGGACTCGTGAAGGGGCCAGGGATGGGAGACGCAGGAGGAGTAAGGCACAGAAAGACAAGCCAGAGGGGCCAAGTCACACCCTGGAGGGGAGCTGGGCGTGCTCATCCTCCCCTCCCTCCCAGGCGGGCTTCTGAAGACCCTCTGGACAGGCCCCCCAACCCTCCCTAGAGGGAGGAGGGGGCTGGGGGGGAGAGCTACTTCCTGTGGTGTGTTACCAAATTGTTCCCAAGTTGCTCAAATGGAGGAGGAGTTCCCAATTCCAACAGCAAAAGACCCAAACAACAAATGCCCTACCCCTAAATAAAGAGTAAAGACATTAACAGCTAAAATCCAGAGAAGTGGCCACGGTGGGGGGGAAGGGGGAAAGTGGGGGGCACAGAAAGCTCCAAAACACTTTTGAAAAGGACGACACCCAACACCCTCCCAAGGAACTCAAAGTCGGCGAGCAGGACGCCTACCTAAGCGCAGGTGGTGGCTTAGCAGCGGCAGCGGCAACTGCCTGGTCCTCCTTGCTCGGCTCCGGGGTCCCCTTTCTGCTCCACCCTCCGGCCCGGCCCCAGCAGGGCAGTCTGCGTGAGAGGCAGGGGCAGGGACTGATGGGGCGGAGCGAGGGCACCTGCATGCAGGGCTGGGGGTGGGGGTGACCTGGGGCCCAACTCCCCTCCCTTGTGGCTGGAAGGAGGCCCTCCTGGCCTGCAGAGAGAGGGGAGAGGGGGCTTGTCCCAGGCTGGGACAAGGCCATCGAGAGCATTCCGATTTTTCCTACGGACTGTACAGAGGGGTCCAGGGCCCCAGGAACTGCTCTTGCAGCTCAGGGTGGGGTGGCAGAACACCCTCCATTCTGGGACACACAACTAGCTCCAGGGGCCACCCCGCTGCCTGCCTGGAGGCTTTTAGCCCGAGGGTGGGCTGGGGTAAGTGGAGGCTGCTCTCCCTCTCCCAGTCCGGAGCAGCTGGGGGAAGAAGCTGGAGCCTTGGCAGTGAGGGAGGGAGGGAGGGGAGGAGTCTAGAGGAGAGAGCCCGTGGGATCTACACCCCACCATCTTTACAGGCTGGTCCTCCAGGCTCCCTAGGGCAGCTCCTGCCATGAGCAGGGTGGGGTTCCCCTAGGAAGGGGTGAGGGTGGAGGCCAGGCCCCTTCAGAACGGTGCTGGTTGCTTTGTTTGGGGACTCTGTTCCTCCCCAGAAGGCCGGGCAGGGGAGGGAGGAAGGCAGTTCTGCATCCTTTCTCGCTTTCTGTCCTCTACTTGACAGAGTCCGTGTCCCGTGTTTCTTTCTGCTTGGCTGCTGGTGCACAGCTCCACTGAGACCCCTTCCAAGGGCTCTCTGAGAACTGGGCTGCTTCTGGGGCCCGCAGGGGTCCCCGGGCTGGAGGAGAGAAGGGCTGAGTGGCTGACGACGTCTAATTTTTGCTTTTCAGTGGGGCTGGGCTGGGCTGGGGGATTTTTCCATGTCTCAAAATTTCTTCTCCCCCCTTTCAAGGAACCTCTTCTTTTCATTTTGTTGTTTCTTTTGTCGATCTTATCAGAGGAACCAGGACTGAAACGAGATGAAAAAGAGGCAATACTGAGAACAGCTGGGGCAGGCCCCATCTCACTCCTACCTGGCTGGGTGAACTGGCCCCTTAAGGGACAGCTCTCAAAGGGCCAGGGTGCAGACAGCCACCATCCCCCTCGTTCCTGTGGGGGAGAAAGGGCATCCCCATTCTCTCCCTCCCTCCTAAGAGAACCCCACCCCCTCAGACTCTGCCCCTAGTGCTAGAGTCCAGCTGGCCTTCCCGTGGGCACTGTGCCCAGCGGGTGGGACCCCCATGGCTGGTGCTGGCACAAGCCTGAGATCTGGCCATGTTTCCAATTGTTTAGGTTTTTGTGTGGGTCCTGGAGGATGGGGAAGATGCCAGGCTGGGGCTTTTGTACCCAGAGGGGTTTTGGGAATGGGGTGGGGGTGGCCCAGCTTCTTGCTGAGTTTTCTTTCTGTCTCTTTGGATTAAAAGCAGAAATTCCCATCTATACACCCCAGCCAAGGTCCCACAGGCTGAAAGGCTAGGGCGGAGGAACCACATGGCTGCAGTCCCTAGTAGCGCCAGGCCTACGGGAGGGGCCTTGTAGCCCGGATCCTCTACCCTCAGGGCACGAGACACTGAGGAAGGACCTGAGGCTCCCTGGGGTGAGCATCACTTCTTTCACAATGCCAGCAGGGGGCGCTGCCCTCCCACAGACAGGGCCTTCTCTGCCTGTGTCTGGTGGCTCAGCTCAGAGCACATCCAGGGTGGACCCCAAGGGACTGGGCTGCTTGGCTATGCCTTCCATCAAAGGCTCCAGCCCCACCTCCTAGCAAAGTGGCGGGTCAGGGTCTACTGTGGTCTACTGGGCCTGGGTGCACCTGGTAGTACCTTTGGGGCAAAATGAGGGTCCCTGAAAATGCATCTTGGGGTCCATGAAAATGCATCTTGGGGCCCCTGAAAATGCATCTTGGGGCCTCTCCCAGGCTGTCACAGATACTGGTCTGCAGGGACCAGGCAGAGCCAACTACAGAGCAAATACCAGTTCCTGGTTTACTCCACCCTGACCTGACCCCACAGGGAAACCAGGCACAGAGAGGGTGGGTGACCTGCCTGAAGCCACACAGCCCTTGGACAGCAAAGTCAGGGTTCAAATGTAACGGGCAGTGCGGCCGGGCGTGATGGCTCACACCTGTAATCCCAGCACTTTGAGAGGCTGCATGCTCACAGCACAGGCAGATCACCTGAGGTCAGGAGTTCGAGACCAACTTGGCCAACATGGTGAAACCCCATCTCTAAAAAAAAAATGTATATGTTAAAAAAAAAAAGGGCAGTGCAGGCAGTGCTCCTAACTGCTGCCTGTGCTGTGAGCATGCAGAATCAGGGTGTGTGGTGCTGGAGTGCCTGTGCCCTCCCTAGGGTCAGGGTGAGAGCCCAGGGCAGCTAATCTGCCAATTTTACAAAAGGAGCAGAAGTCCAGACAGAATCTCATGTGAAACGTTCCAATATTTAAACATTGCTTTGCTCAAACATTCTGCCTGCAGGCCAGGCCTGCTCTCAGGCTCTGCTTTGGGACTGAGGATGGGGACACTGGGTTTTAAAACGGGCCCTGGAGTATCTAGCACTTTCTGTGACAGTGGACATCTCTCTATCCACCCTGCCCAATGCAGTGGGACTAAGGATGGGGACGCTGGGTTTTAGAAAGGGCCCTGGGGATTATCTAGCACTTTCTGTAACAGTGGACATCTCTCTATCCACCCTGCCCAATGCAGTGGGACTGAGGATGGGGACACTGGGTTTTAAAACGGGCCCTGGAGTATCTAGCACTTTCTGTGACAGTGGACATCTCTCTATCCACCCTGCCCAATGCAGTGGGACTGAGGCTGGGGACGCTGGGTTTTAGAAAGGGCCCTGGGGATTATCTAGCACTTTCTGTGACAGTGGACATCTCTCTATCCACCCTGCTCAATGCCATGGCCACGAGCCACAAGTGGTTTCTAGGCACTTGAATGTAGCTACTGGAACTGAGGAACTACATTTTTCTTCAGTTAATAAGTTAATTTAAATGTAAACAGCCAAACGTGGCCCGTGGCTACCACAATGGACGGTGCAGATCAAGAGCATCTGGAAATGTGGGGGTTTGGGGATTGCCACAATAATCAGGCGCTGCTGGGCGGGCAGAGATGCTGAAGTTCCTGCATGTGCTGGTCAGTACACACACAGAGACCTGCCCTCCCTCAGTGGGGCTCCTCAAGCACCTGCCCCAAATCCAACCCGTCGTCAGTTGACTACAGGCCAAACAGAGGCTCACTGCGGCCTGGCGAGGCTGAGGCGGAAACCCAGCCCTGCGGCATCCCCAGAGTAGGGGAGAAGTGGTCCGCAGCTAGCCCCTGGGCTTCTGGCCCAAACCTGGAGGCAGGAACTGCCTGGGTTGGATGACACCCTATCTTCTGCAGTCTCTCCCGAGGGTAGACTATACAGGAACCCTGTGCCATTGCCCCGAGGTTGAGGGGAAGCTGGCTCTGGTGG